ATGTGGGTTGATCCAATGGTCATGATTGCATTTCGTATTTTAATTGTAATTTTTTTCTATAAATCCAAATCATTTGAAATTTTAAGCGTATATTCTTTAAAAATAGGAGAATATAATAAAAATATCAAAAAAATAATTTGACAAAAATACCCCTGGAACTTTTCAAGGGTATTTTGTTCAATTTATATTCTGCGAATAATTTTTTAATATTTTTATTAGCTACACCTTGATGAGAAGAATGGACGCCTAAAATTTCATGTGATTTGGATTTGTAGAAAAAAAATTAAAAGTGTATTACAAAATGAGGTCGTGACCATTAGATCAGCCCAGATTCAATCTGAGCCGTTGGGCTAACACTTTAGCTGTTAGCTAGTGGGCTAATACATATATGTGTATTTGTGTGTGTGTTTTTTGTGTAAAAAATTTTATATAAGGTTACAACCTTATTTATAGAAGTAAGGTTGTCGTAATCCACACCGTCCATTTTATTTGGATAGTATAGATCTAATAATATCTTAAAAAGCGATTCACCTTTTGACATAGTCTTACAAGGTGTGTCAAATCTAACCGTCCAACTAAAATAGACGATTAAGAGCATTGTGATCTTACTTTTACAAGTAAAGTTGCTAATTTATATAAACCGCACCGATATATATAGGGATAATACTTGCATAAGCCCTTTTCTGGCTCAAAAACTTCGTCCAAACAGAATTTTGTTTGACCCCCAATATAAAGTCTATCTCAGAATGGGAGTGATGTTGGGATATATAAAACCCAATAGATCCGACTCTTCAAAGTGACTTGCGCTACAATATAAGTTCGTTATCTTAAATAATATTTTTTACTCTGTATGTGTGTTGTTGGAGTGTGTAGCAAAATATATAAAGAATGACAATATTTCCTTTTCGAACAACTTTACCAAAATATTTCTTGAAAACAAATAAAATACATTATAAATACATAACAAATAGATTTATTTGTTAAAAGAAGAGAGGAACTTTTGATCTTTTCGAGGTGTTGTTGCTATCATAGTAATAAACAATCACAAAAAAATACCTTCACTCTCACAATATGAAGACGTGGTAGAGGGGAGAATGAAAAGGTGAGAGATGGAGAACAGAAGAGATATGGAGTGGATCTATATATATATATATATATATATGGAAAAGTCTTCCTAAAATCTATAGGTGAAAATGAACAGTGATTTCGCCTGTCTTCCGAACAACCATCAAATTGAGCTCAAAGCACCTAACCTCATGCCTCTGCCAAGACACCAAATGGAATGTTACATTGGACGCGCCTAATCTCATGCCTTTGCTCCACCTAATCTCAAGCCTCTGCTAAGACAAATTTCCATGACTACAACCTCAGGAGAGGGTGATCAAACCACACCCATTAATGAAGTCTAAGGAATGTTAAATTGGACTCCCCCCCCCCCCCCCCCCTCCCCCCAACAAAACCTGCTTACATGGTAGAAAAACTTGCTTATATAGGATTTTCATAATATAATGGATCAGATTACTCTTCATATTTTTTAAAAGTATTTTTAAAAAATAAGAAGGATCTCGCTTTTTCTCTCTGTACCTGCAAAACACCCGCAATGACCGCTCTTCCTCTTCGCTATCTCTCTCTCTCTCTCTCTCTCTACATCCATAGATACATACATACCCCTTCTCTTGCTCTACCTAAGAGAAGCCCACAAAGAGCTCTCTCTCTTTCTGTCTCTATCTCCGGCCTATTCACTCTCTCTAAAAAACCCACAAAACTTACCCCCCCCCCCCCCCCTCCCCCGCTCCCTCCCTCCCTCTCTCATCTCCCCAATCTATCGACAACAAATCAAATGCACATTACTCATGACATAGACCGAGATCACAAAATGAGGAAACAAAAAGTAGTGCAATTAAACGAAAATTAAGGTGTGCGGCCTCTTTTTAGGGTCTTGCAGTTGCAAATGTTGAGCAGAAATGTGATGCAGAGAAGGGAAGCAATAACACCATAGGACTTAAGGAGAAAGAAGATTGAATAGAGGGACCGCACACAAATCTTGATTACTTGAGATAGAGAGAGAGAAAGCAAAGATGGTAGACAGTAGGGCAGAGAGAGAGAGAGAGAGAGTAGTGCCGAGATATAGAGAGCAAAGAAAAAGAGAGGTCTTTGTAGGCTCCTTATGGGTGGACAGGGAAAGAGGAGAGACATCCTTTTAGAAAACATGCAGTTCTTTCAAAATATAAAAGGTATTTTGGTCCACAATATTATGAAAATCCCATGGAAGGGGTATTTGGATAACAAGATGAGACTTGGAAGGTTTTTTACCACTTGACAATGTTGGATTGGGGGGTAGGGGGTTCATACGGAAAGATATAGGTAAAGGCCCCAAAAAAATTTCCATAAAGCCCATCACCAAGAACCCCAAAACTTAGGCCGAACCATAGTTGTTGGAAACGCCTAGGGACCTGAATCATTTTAGGAACCAGAATCACGGAAGCGTGGCCGGTTAGAAGATTCATGTCTTAGGAATCGTTGCCCGTACAATAGGAATCGCTAGGAACGAGATTCCTAGTTTTTGAGAATTGTGTTTCGACCGAAATAGATCCAAGTTTCATCCACAAATGGAATCGAGATTTCGTCCTCCATAGAATCGGGATTCCCATCCCACAGGAATCGACACTCCAGAAATCAAGATTCTTTAATATGCGGAATCGAGTTTCCGACATCTATGGAATTGAGCTTCTGATATATGTGGAATATAGATATGTTGTTGTTTTGAATCGTGATCCTAACATATTTGGAATCAAGTTTTTAAAGTATATAAATCAGATATCCATACCAGTTTGAGATCGAGATTTACAATAATATGGACTGTGGAATGCATTTGACGACCCCTACTAGGAATCAAGATTTCATTTTTATGGAGAAGGAAGCCACAAGCACATCTTGAGCCTCACCAACTTTAGAACCTATATTGGATGTTTCTTATTAGAAGGTTTCCCGAATTTTAAAGTGATTGTTTTGACTATTGAACTTATGGTCATTATATATAAAAGACAAGTATTTCTAAATTGTAATTTTGACTTCATTATTATAAAGACAAAATAGGATTATGTCTACAACATGGTTTTACTTTTAATTGTAAGTGTTATATTTACCAATTGTATTTTAAATTTAAAGTAAAAGCCATCCAGGGTGACACAAGTAAAATAATGAAACCCTGCAACCACTAGAAGCATTCGAAAGAAGATTTCTACTCCAATTGACATGGAATCAAGATTTAATCCTCGCTAGAATCCAAATTCGATATATTTGGGAACGTCTACCCGCAATTAATGGGTTCAAGTTTTCAAAGATGTGTTCGATCGAGATTCCGAAATTAAGGAATCGAGTTTCCTTGGTTCCGATAAATGGTTTCTAAAAATGTGTTGAATCGAGATTCTGAAATTAAGGAATTGACTTTTCTAAGTTTCGAAAAAAGGTTTCTAAAGATGTGTCGAATCAAGATTCCGAAATTAAGGAACCCAGTTTCCTTGGTTCTAAAAAATGGTTTCCGTGGAGATTCCTTAACAGAAATGTGGAATCGGGTTTCAAAACCGGAAACGCGAGGTCGGTGGAGAGATTCCGGTAACTATGGGCCGAACCAAAGCCTAATATATGATCATGCTCCACACACTCTCTCTAAGAGATAGAAAAGAAGATAGTTCCCATCAGAAAGAAAAGAAGATATTTCCCATCTGAAAACTTCATTGTTCCAATCTTCCCATCATCATCAGAGCCTTTTTCCAACTATTTGAGATCAACTATATGAATCATGGTCTGTTATTCTACTCTGTCAAGTATCATACCCTCAATGAGGCCATAAGTCCCCAAATGCCCCAAAAAATACCAATTGATGATAGCATCCATGATAAATTTGGCTTGTCTCTAAGAATGATATAACAACCCAACCATGGTCAAGGTCAGGGAGCAGTGCCACACCAACTTCAAGGAACTATTCCTCCTATGAAAAGTGCACACCAACTCCCAATTATTCTCGAGGATAGCATGCCTAACATGATTCTTTTGCCTAGCATACAAAATCAGTTTTTAATTATACATGCTAAATTTTGAGTATTCAACAATATAATTTGGCCAATCCATTGCATCCAATCATCATCATCATCATCAAAAGCCTTTTCCCAACTATTTGGGGTCAGCTACACGAATCGTGGTCTGCCATTTTGCTCTATCAAGGGCCATACCCTTAGTGAGGCCATAAGTCCTCATATCTTTTCTCACTACTTCCAATCATGTCCTTATAGGCCTGCCCCTTGCCCTTTTTGAGTTTTCCATTTGAACTAACTCGCACCTTCTGACACGTGTTGTACTAGGTCTGCACTACAGATGGCCAACCCACCTAAGTCTATTTTCTCTCATCTTATCGCCTATTAGTGCCACCCCTAAGTTCTTCTTAATGTATTCATTTCGAATTATATCCCTTCTTCTCTTGCCACTCATCCATCTGAACATCGTCATCTCAACTACACTCATCCTATGGGTATGTTGTTTCTTGAACGCCCAACATTTCGTCTCATAAAGCAAAGCTGGTCTCACAAATGTCCTATGAAACTCACCCTTAAGCTTCGTTGGTATGCGGCAATCATATAAAACTCCATTTACATCTCCACTTCATCAACCCAACTCTAATTCTATGCGAATCTTCCTCAGTCCATCGCATCAAATGTAAACCACAATTCATGGGAATTCGTGTTCTCCAGATAAGCGTCAATGAATTTGTTCCTAGTCAGAAACTAATGAATATGATTTCCAATGAAGAGGCAAAACTCGTGAAAATTAGTCACAAGTTGTCACATACCCCCACCAACTGAAGTAGAAAGTAAAAGCTTCCCGCAAGTAACTATTGTTATCAAATGGAAACAGGTACAACAAAAATCTCAAAAACATCATCACAGAAGTTAACCATACTTTGCTTTATAATTGCCACAAATCTAATGAGAGAAAATCTTAGATGATCAAGATTCCATGAGTAAATGACTCAGAGAGTGCTTCAATGATGTTGACGAAAATAATACTTCTAAATAGTTAACCACATTGGCATATCCTAAGAAGTTTAAGAATTACACCTACCTTACAATGTAACCATGCTACAACCTTGGAATCATCTAGTCTACAGAAAATCTCTGACCCAACTTCTGCAAACATATGTCAACTTAGATAATTTAGCAAGCAATTCCACCATTCATTGTATTCAAATTTGAAGTCTAATTTCTCGTGGACAAATAAATTGGAAAAAGACAACAATTTAAATAGAAAAAAAATTTACTGCAGTTATATAATATGCAAAAGAAATGTAGGATCTCTATTTTTTCAGCAAGTAGAAGTAATATTTAGATCACAATGTTAACTCTATTCATGAACATTCATAGGAAAACGGATGAAAGTTCTCTCCATTGTGCTAAAAGCACGGTTTGCGTACCCAATCTGGGCTTTATAACTTTGGTAGGGTCCACTTGAGTGTTAGCGTCAACGTGATTCATAGGAAAATCAGGTTGGCTCACAATAATGCACCACTAATATATGTAATTTTTTCTGCATAAGGCGAACACCAACAACTTGTATTCACATTTTTACTTTTTTCTTATCTAAGGGGCCTAATGCCTCAAGGCAGCCCCCAGACGACATTCAGCCTCTCGGGACTTGTGCCTCATCCAAAGCCATGAAAAGGTGTGGCTATGTGGAACTCAAGGTATTAAATTCAAAAATTTCTTTTTACTTTTATTCCAAATACCTGAATTCCACTTACATGTGCCACAATATATTGCTGGAAAATAAAAACAATGCCCTAAATACAACCTAGGAGCTTTATTTTACTGCTAAGAGAAATAGAAACTATACATGAACTTTAAAATAGCCTTTATAATAATTTTTAACACAATATAAGGTCTTGAAAAATTACATAAAAAATAGAAAATAAAACTGAAAATAAATAAAAACTAATGGGAAGACTTACTGAAAGATGTCTGGAGTTACCCAACCAGGACTTGGTACACCCCATGCCCGAATCCCTGACCAATAGTGCGCTTTTCCTCCTTAAGGTGTTGCTGAAAATTCTTAGATTGGGAAGCATTGTAGGCTATCCTTCTTTCTCTAGGGTTTAAGAGGGCTAAAAAATAACCTAGGGTTTATACAAACCCTATGGGAACAAAATAGGGCTGATCTTGGGGTTGATATCTCTCTATGAACTTCTCTTCTTCCTTTGAAAAATACAGCAAACCCTAGTTTAGAGAAGAGAGATGTGGCGTGCCTCTCTTTTGGTTGAGAGAGAGAAAGATAGAAGGTAGCATGAGAGAGAAAAAGAGAGGCCCCCCAATTGGTGCGTGAGGGAGAGAGAGATCTCCCCAAATTGGTGCATGAGGGAGAGAGAAAGATCTCCCCCAAATTGGTGTGTGAGGGAGAGAGAGATCTTTTGAAGAGAGAAAAATAGGATCTAGTGATTATATCTCAAATAAGTTCAAACTCCTAGAAGAAAACTTATCTCGTAGTTTGCAAAGGATTCTAGTTTAAATAGGATTCCTACTCTATCTAATTTCCAGCAAAACCTTTTAGGATAACTAGGAAATGGGTGAGAAATTAATCAGAGCCATCCATCATAATTTATGGGTGAGAGATTAATCGAAGTCATCCATCATAATTTTGGGTGGATAAATTAGGAACCTTATCCTTTTACATTTTGACCCAATCCACTCCTATTTAAAATCAAACCAATCAAATTTAAACTTTATCCCTTTTAAAATTTGAAATCATACTTAAAATATTTTCTAGATAAATCTAATATAGATTTCCCACAATATTGGGAAACCATATCAATAGATTTCTCATCTTTAGATTTAAATTTGAATTTAAAAGAAATAAGGTGGTGTGCCCCTTACTTCCCAAAACATATGGCGTGGGGGGATTGCCCCTTATTTTGCTCAACTAAAAATAGTGGTGTGCCCCCTCTTGAAAAACTCATCCAAAAATTAGGACATGCCCCTATTTTTTAAAAATATTTTTGTCGTGCCACTTTTTAGCTAGAATGGTGGCGTACTCCCCCTTTAGCAAAGAAATAGGGCGTGCCAAAATCTGACATACAAAAATAGAGCGTTCCCTAAGGTGCACGGTGTGCCACATGTGGGGCTGGATCTTTAGTCTCACATGAGTTATTTTTAAAGTTTTGAAATTTTCAGAAGTACCCTTTTATGAAAAATTAGAACATAAATAATATTTTAAAATTCTGAAAAAATATTTAAAAATCAAATAAACATTTATAATACCTAAATAAAATATACTAGGAGTGAACTGGTACCAGTGAGTCAAAATAAACGACACTAAAAGCACTCCATTTGTCCCAAAAACCATGATCCACAAATGTTTCTCTTATCCGACCCAACAAAGTCTCATGATCTACAGTCTCTTTGCAGGGACTCATGATTGGTTTGTCAAAGTTGGATAATAAAACAGTGGGATTATGATCCTGGAATGTGGATTACAGTTCCCTCTTTAAGAGCAAGTCTAGCACTTGTCACTACAGTGCAAAAGAGGCTCTCTTAATGTACATGTACATGTGTCCTTGTAAAAAAGGTTGCTTTGCTCTCAAAAGCCTACAACTGCACACAGGAGACCACACAGTTCTCATCGCCTACAAACATGATCCCCGGGCATCTTTCCAACCTCAACAAGGGATAGCCCACTTCAAACCCTTTTCGAATGTGTCACATGCCCAGGGCTAAGGGTTTTAGACATGACCAGGGCCATAAACCACCCAACCATTGGTTAGTCAACACATACTCCTACTGAAGTGCATATTCCACTATACATCATTTTTCTTACAAGCTCTCTAAGCCTTTAGAAGCCACAAAAACCCAACAAGCCATAAGTGAATGGTAAGAAATCCTACATATCCAAACATCCAGATGTAAGAAGTCAATTTGATAACATGTATTTTTTCGTCGTTTTGCTTTAATTATGAAGTGAAGAAATGCTTAGAAATATACGTCTTACCTGAGTCTACAAGGGCTCTCTAGGTTTATAATCTTTTACAGGCAAGCGAGAGAGAAATGTAAAGAGATCAAGCTAAGGTCGGATTTCATCCATAGTGAGTCGCAAAACTAGGTTCACCCACTGAGGTGTAAGGTCTCATCCATGAACCCTCTCTTACCGGATGTCTTCGAGCCATGACAGTAGGTACCATCTACAGGAGGCTTAGATAATAAGGGTACATGCTCATCTATGATGCATCCTATGATCTGCAAAGAGGGGGTGAAAATCTTGATGAATTTGTATATATATCCAAAGAGCCCATAACCAAAAAACAATGGAGACGAGAAAATATTATGCATAGGTGTTGCCAAACTATTCTCCCTTCTCAAGTCCCGAAGTGGTAAGATGGAGTACAGAAGGTTGCTTGGCTATAAGATTTGATGTTGATGAGGTTGTTTGACATGCCAAATCTCTTGAATCCAGTCTCCTTGGACAATTTCTAAGAAAAATAACAAGTTTGGTCAGAATAAAGCCAGAACAATATGGAAAGCCAGGACATTCATTGGCCATTGCGCATATCAACGAGCACATACTAATCAAGTGCTTTTATAATCCTCGCGGGCTGGAACAAGGATGCATTGTACTTCGATATATCGGTTTCTCTTTGGGACATTTTCTTTCGACTCCTGTTTGGGAAAGTGTATTAGGCCCAAATGCTACATTCTTCAATGAAAAGTATCGATTCCCATTGATGGAACCAATTGGCAAATCATTGGCGAGAATAATATGGCGACTAAAGTCGAGATGAATTCTAATAAGGCTGAGGTCCATATTGAAGCTGACTCAGTTCTGATCTGCCTAATAGCATATGGATTGAGAAGGAGCTCTCAGGTGATTGGCAGCCTATTGTTCATGAGAACATCCCTAGATGTTGTATTACTTGTTCAAGATTGGGTCATGTTGTGGAGCAAAATCAAGATAACAACACCATTGTTGCGAAAGTCAAGAGATCCAGATCTAGGTTCCATTCTCAACAATGTAGGGATCAAGATAAAAACACCATTGTTGCGAAAGTCAAGAGATCCAGATCTAGGTTCCATTCTCAACAATGTAGGGATCAATCACGTAGAGATAGATCAAGGGTTTAAAAGTAGCGGTACCAGCCAATTAAGGCTACTAGCCCGCAGGTAATCACAAGGGACGCATAGGAAACCAACTTTGGCACACTACCTTGGGGATACCAGCCACAACGCATGATGGAAGATGTGGCAGGTGTGAGTCTAACTCGTGTGGAGCAAGTGGAATCTGATAATGGCCTGGACATGGAAGACATATGCTGCCTAGCCTTTGCACCTCGCTCGAATCATGGAACATGTGAGACAATTCCTAATTTAAAATTTGGACCTATTTTAGAAGGCCTCAATGAGATAAGTTCGATTACTCCATATCCCCCAATCCAATTGAAGGAGAAGTTTGAGTGGAACAAAATCCTTCCTCTTAATATCATGCAGGAAGGTTGCCAAGAAATAGATATTGGTGTTGCAAGTAATGAGGAAACCATAATGAATTTCTACATGTTTACCTAGCGACTTGGAGACCATAGGAAATCATGGGGGCAAGAGACACATGCAATCAAGGACCCAAGGCTGTCGCAATGATTCCAACTCCTGTTTGTCCCGCCTCACAACACAGCAACTCTACAAGATGATTCACGGAATTGTCGCCGGTTAGATGATTCCTACTTTTGGAATAAGTGTTTGTACAAGAGGAATTGTGGGGGACAAGATTCCTATTTTTAAGAATCGAGATTCAACCAAAATGGAATCAAGACACCAAAATAGATGCAATCGAGTTTCCAACCTAGTTGGAATCAACCAACATGGAATCGAGATTCCTTTGTTTATGCGATCCCTATTTTGACATCTTTGAAATCGAGAGGGAACTGAGAGAGAAACAACTATTCATTAAACAACATGCCATACATGCAAGTTTACATTATTTGTATTATATTATTTCTAACACCTTGATCTTGCAATCTCTCTATTGGATTAATACAATGCATCATCATCCTCAGAGCCTTTTTCCAACTACTTGGGTCTGCTACACGGATCCTGGTTCACCATTATGCTCTATCAAGGGTAATACCCTCAGTGAGGTTATAAGTCCACTTTGG